CTATGGCCCTCCCCACACTGTGCCACTGACAGAGTAGCCTTCTAGTGAACGACCCATAGATATAAGAAAAACATGAGCAAAATGTCAATATATATTTGCTCTAATGTAGACTGTAAGGAGAATCAATGTATCTATGTCCTGTCTCATTACATTGACAGCCAATAGGGTGTATCAGTGAACAGAACCAGGATTCAACTCACCTTTCAGCAACTAAGCTCATTGGGCAATCTCTGGCCAGTCATTATTGCTCAGTCTATGCTACCTCAGAGTTGTTGAGGAGGGCAGAAAAAATACTTTGACTCTCCGTGTCAGCCAGAGGAAAGCGTGGGGGCGGGGGAAATGTAATTAAAAAATTACCAAAAGTAAACCATTTTTCTTCATTATATCTAACAGTCTACTAGCAACGTAAATAACTCACATTTCATTTCAAGGGAAATCCTCATGGTGCAGCTTTGGTGCACAAAACAAAGCTTTTAGAATCCTTGCTTTTACTTATAAGCTGTGCATGGGATTTAGCCTTGTCAGAGCTGCTATAGAAAAAGAGGACTGATTTAATAGATTTTTTTTTCAGCTGAGGTATTTCCCTTCTGCAACTTTGCTTGAGTTTCTTTCTAATAATGTGTTGTTCTTCTATTCCCCTTAGATTATTGTATTTTGCCTAAAGAAAAAGTTTATCTCATACGGATAGTCTACTTCTTCAACTCACCTACAACCATCTAATTGTTTTCTGCATTTTGCCTCTGAAAATGACATACATTTTGCTTCAGAAATGGGCACCAGTTCCCTTGCTATTTGATGGACATCCCCCCTACTACTTAGCCACTTTACAGCATCTCTATTCCTCTTCCTCAAGAGCTGTTCAGGTTGATTTGGTTGAAAACTGACGCTGTCCGGAAACGATTGTGATTCAGATCTTGGATCCATACCTACAAAGCTGTTTACAAAACAGCCTTAATGATCCGATCTATCGTCTTCTGTACAGGCCCAAATAACATAAGAAGTCCCTGCTGGATCAAACCAGAGGCACAGCAGTGGTCAACTAGACACCTATGGGAAGTCCACAAGCAGGACAAGAATGAACAGTACTCTCCCCACTTGTCATTCCCAGAAATTAGCATGCATAAGCATACTACCTCCATCAATGAAGATTAAATATATCTATCAAGGCTAGAAGCCATTGGCAGCCTTATCTTCCATGATCCTTTAATTCTCTCCTTGCTCTCTCTCCCAATTCTTTTCTCCTCATTAACTTTACATCTGTTCCACTACTGTAATCTTCTCCCATTGTTGATCTTTGAAACACAGAGTCATAGAATCATAGAAATCTAGTCCAATGCAGGAATCTCAGCTAAAGCATCCATGACAGATGACCATCCAACCTCTGCTGAAAAACCTCCAAGGAAGGAGAGTCCATCACCTCTCGTGGAAGTCTGTTCCACTGTTGAACAGATCTCACTGTCTGAAAGTTCTTATGTTTAGTTGGAAACTCTTTTCTTGTAACTTCAAGCCATTGATTTGGGTCCTGTGAGCCTGCTCACTTTAACGGTGATAGCTGCACAGGAGCCAAGAGCATACTGCCCTTTCAAAAATGGAAACATAAAAAGAAGCATGTATATGAGAAAAGTGGAGCTTATACCTAGATACATCTCGCTTTTGTCATATATTCATATTATATTTGTGGCCTCCTTACTTTACGGAATCTGGCCTAAAGCCAGAAATCCCTAATCTTGTTTGTTCCAGAGTTAGTCGGTCGTAGCAAAAACCAAAGATGTTGTAGCATCTTATTATGGCATCAGCTTTTCAGGACCAGAGTCCACTTCATCAGCTGCATGAATTGTTATCTTCACTTGCCAGACAAACATGGGCACAATGGGGGGAAAGGTGGTAGAAAGTTTCTGCCAAGCATTAAGGATCTATTGCCCAGCCATATCAAAGTTTGCTTTAGATTTGAGAGACAGTTTATTCTACGGCTTCTAGAAATATGACTGGCCTGGTTAGGGGTGGAGAAACTAAGAATGTTCTGAGAACTAAGAATATTTCCTAGGAAACCACTAAACTTAGAAGTATATCCTGACAGGATTGATGCTTCCCTCAGCCTTTGAACTGTGTTAACACGGTTTGGTCAACATGGGATTTGTACTTTTCTCACTCAAGATTATGCTATTTAATCACAAGTGTTTTCTGATCATTCTTCTGTGAGTTTGTTGTTCAAAGGCTTATATATGCAGTTTTAATATAGAACAGGAAGGCTGACTCATGTACCCTGAGCCAGGAAATAAACTGGTGTTGGAAACAGGGAAAACTGCATTCTCTGAAGAGGGAATAGTGTGGAGCAAGCTTAAATAGCCTGTCACCACCTCTCCCCGTCGGGTAAAATAACCCATCAGGCCATAACATTCTCCCTTGGGAGATACCACCTTTCAGGGGAGGGTGTGTGTGGCAAATTCGTCCCACACCCAAAATGGTAGGAACTGCATTATAGAAATGGTTACTGTTGGCTGCTGTATAGAGCTCTTTCATCAAGTTCATATTGGCCCTGACAGACATTTGGTGTGTATTCTACTTTGTGGGACAATGCTGTTTTCATACAGACTCCAGAAAATTCTCTGTTCACTTTTGACAGCCACCTTCACACCACAGAAGATAATTTGGTAACTAACAATAGCAGCTTCAGAAGTCTGCACATTCAGCAATTCTCTTGCTTTACACTGGATTTAAGCAATCCCAAAACATTAATGAAAGTCTGACTGTTGTTATTTGAATGGAATACTAATGATATTCCAGAGGAGCAGAAAATGCAGCCTTAGTTCAACAGCATATATTGAGTTTTTTTTCTATTTCTATAAAATACGTTGTAACATAATATAACTCTCTATTTGTGTTTCAGAATAGATGTGATACTACAGTTTCAGGTCATATTAAGCACACTACTCTAAAGACACCAAGGAAGGCAGATATCCTGTGATTTTGCCGTATCTTTTTATTCAGTTACATGTTTAGGCCTGTTTTATGGAGACAATTGCCCTGAAGGATAAGATAGATTGAAAAAGTAATCAACGTGGACCTCAGAGAAAGAGAAAGTGCAAACACTTACTGCCTTAGGGTTTTCTTCATGATTCTATAGAGCAGGAATCATTAATTCAGCATGCATGCTGGTTGTTATAAAGAGGCAAGAAAGCATCAGACAACAAGACAGGGGTCCCAGTTGCATTGAAAAGTACACATTTCACACACAAAAACTTAGAAGGGTGACTTCACTTTTTGCTTCATAACTGTATTTCTAGGAAGGCTAGAGACTTTTTTAAAAAAAGCTCAGAGTCTAAGCACCTGTCTAGAAGCACTAATGAAGGTCTCTATGGGCACCATGGAACCTGTAGGCACTGGGATGGAAAAACCTGGCTTAGGTTATGTAGGACTTTGATCCTGAAGCAATGGCTTGCAGCTTGCACTAAGTGAGTTGCAACAGCAGCAACACCATGAAGCAAATGTGAGCATTAAAGTGCGTCCCTAAATGAATATTTGGGCTAAAGGACAGTCCCAGATCCAAAAAGAGTGAAGACTAATGTTCTAGGACATGGTGTAGAGATCTGAAGAAGAACGGTGATCAACAGGGATATTATGACCTTTTGGGCAGGCACTGTGAGATCATGAGAAACTTAAATGTTACTCCAGCAGCCTTACAGGAACATAATAGGCACTCCATCAGCAAGAGGCGTATGACATTAGATTTACAGAAGCTTCTACTACACAAAGACTACCAGGAAAAGGCAAAATGAGAAAGGTTTAGCTTGAACTTTAAATGTTATTGACTCAGCATTGCCATGGGGTGTTGCTAAAATATTCTTGAGAAGCGAAAGGCAAAGCAAACAACTGGCTGAGTTGTCTAAACCTTAAACAAACTGGATCTGGAAAAAGATCTAGAGGGGATTGGTGGTAGTAGCATTAAAAATTATTGAAAGAATTTTTTAAAAAATAAATAAATAAAATAAACCAACATTATTTAAAACTTAGAGCACTTGAGGTGAAGGCTGGAATAGTGACACCTAAAATGAACCCACACAACTTTTCATCTCTACACAAATCAAACTACACCCGAAAGACAAACCTGATAGTGTGACTGGATGCAAAGGAAGACAGAGTGCCTGTATATAACATATAGTGCGGAATGAAGAATTTTGGCCTATGTCACACGAGGGACGCAGGTGGCGCTGTGGTCTAAACGACAGAGTCTAGGGCTTGCTGATAGGAAGGTTGGCGGTTCGAATCCCAGTGACGGGGTGAGCTCCCATTGCTCGGTCCCTGCTCCTGCCAACCTAGCAGTTCGAAAGCACGTCATGTGCAAGTAGACAAATAGGTACCGCTCCGGCGGGAAGGTAAACGGCGTTTCCGTATGCTGCTCTGGTTCACCAGAAGCAGCTTAGTCATGCTGGCCACATGACCCGGAAGCTGTCTGTGGACAAACGCCAGCTCCCTTGGCCTATAGAGCGAGATGAGTGCCGCAACCCCAGAGTCTTCCACAACTGGACCTAATGATCAGGGGTACCTTTACCTTTACCTAGCTTGTCACACAGACATTAAAAACTGCATATATTCTTTCTTCAACACAGTTGATTTAGAAGCAGGCAACCTAGGCAATCTAGGGCACCAACCTTGGATGGCAACTCTCAAAGCCATAGTAGCCAATGTTCCTGGACTACAACTCCTACCCTCCTTGACTATTAGCCATGTTAGCTGGGCTTATGGGAGTTGGAGTACAACAACCTTTGCAGGGTACCCCACTGACTACACTGGACAAGGCTATTATTTCATCAATCAATTTGGTAGCTGAAACAGTGAGTATAAGAGGCTCATATTCATTTCTGCAGTTGGCATCAATGACTTGCAGGGCTAGCATTGTGTTAACACCAGTGGTGCCTTTTTGTTTTTTTTAGCCAAAGGAAAATTTGTAGCAATAAACTGTTATTGGGGTTTTTTTAATGGTTTCATGATATTCATTATATGCAATAGCTCAGTTGGTAGAGCATGGGGCTCATAACCTCAGGGTTATGGGTTCGAGTTCGATATTGGACAAAAAGATTCCCACATTGCTGCAGGGGGCTGGACTAGACGACCCTCGTGGTCTCTTCCAACTCTACAATTCTATGATGCTATATAAATCCTTAAATAAATATAACGCATTGATGCTCGTAGTTTTAAAGAGAGCAATGACAACTACAACTCGCCACACCGTAGCAGGGGATGCTGTGCACAGGTGACGCTGTGTTCCTGGCCAGTGCCAGATTTACGTATAAACTAAACAAGCTATAGCTTAGGGCCCCACTCTCTTGGGGCCCCCAAAAAAATTTAAAGGAAAAAACCACTGGATGTACATTTCCAAAAATAAGATAAAAAACAACTAAAATAAAACCTACATAAAGCAACAGTGTGTAGTGTTGTGTTGGCTCCTATGATGTAGGTAATGGGCCCTGCCTGCTAGCCTGCTCTCTAAAATATCACTGGTTTGCTCATTTCTATATATAGGGTACCTACATTCTGCACAGACTGGTTGTATGGCAACATGTGCAAATGGCTTTAGATATCTATTAGGCCCATAAATGACCATATAGCATATATTCAACACAAAAAACAGCAACAATTTGTTGTTGACAAAGGACAGCTGGACATATAAAGGGCCCCATTACCTTCAGTAGCTGAGGGCCTCATCAAACCTAAATCCAGTCCTGTTCCTGGCTCAGTGTGTTGTCCAGATGTGATCTATTGATGGGCAACTTTGAGGCCCTTGCTTCTCTCCTTTCTTTTGGTTCTCTATCTTTAGAATGGAATTGGACCAATGGAATTGGAGCATAAAATATATGCTCAAAAAGAGGCCTCCACACACTGGCCTGCCCTCTGCAAAACAGGACATAAGGCCACTGTATATTCAACCCAGTAAGAAATCTTTGCCACAAGAGACGTTAATCCGGTATCCAAAAATTAAAATCTAGCAATTAGCTTTTATAATCATGGGGATTTGAAATTTGAAATTGCAAGATACCTTTAAGACAGAGGAGTATAAATAACATATTGTCCATGTGGTGTATTTATTGCCTGACAATAATCTTAATTCCTTATGAAGGGCAGAGAGGATATCTCTCCCAGAGGAAGGCTGTTCTTTACAAAACTTATTCATAGCCTAAAAAGAAAAGGAAAGAAAATCTGTCAGCCCTATTTTATTCCCTGCTGAACATAACACATTAATTAAAGTCGCCTTGAATATTGCTGCAACATGCAAAAATTAAATAACAGAGACTTTTGTACTAAATGGACAGTCAGTAAATATATAGGAAGTTTTTAATAGTTATAATGGTTATCACGACTCCCCCTCCCCCCAAGGATTGCCATTTTTTAAAGCTTTTGCAACTTTTCCTACTGCTTCTTCCATTACGTTGGCATACAAAATTCCCCCCTGACACCCTTACACCCCCAAACCAGAACATGTCAGGAATTTTCCTGACATATGGCAAGCCTATCCCCCCCCCCCAAAAAAAACACACACACATTATTTCTAGCTACATATAATGCTCCTGTGGAATAAAAATTATTTCCCATCCTAATTGAAAAGTTCATCAGAGAGAAATCCCCTTTAGTGCTGCTGTGAACAGAAGGTCGCCATCCTTAGCCAGAAGCATGAATGCGTTGGTGGAAGCTTTGAGCCTGTGTCAGGGGCGGCCACTCACTGACACACACTGGTGCCTGCCAGTGGCGTAGCAAGGTTAGCTGGTACCCGGTGCGGAAAATTGCTTGCAAAAATGGTTTGATGAGCTTTTTTTCCGCAGCCACTGCTGTTGAACTTCTTTTGCAGAGATTGTGTGGAGTCTGACTGCTGCCCTACACCTGAGGCGGAGCTGGCGGATGGATCGTTTCGGCAGCAGGAAGTCTGTGCACACCAAAGCCACAATGTCTCTCACAGACGTTGAGTGCCGCACAACATTTTGTCACCCCCTTCGGAGGTGACACCCAGGGCGGACCTCACCTACCGCACCCACCTTGCTCCGCTTCTGGTGCCTGCACACACATACATATGTGCTGATGCTAGGGAGCGCAGGGTCAGGCCTAAAAAGGTGCTCTACCCAATACTGTGCCATTTTCGGTATTCTCACACCAACTAAAGGTAAAGGTAAAGGGACCCCTGACCATTAGGTCCAGTCGCAGACGACTCTGGGGTTGCGGCGCTCATCTCGCTTTATTGGCCGAGGGAGCCGGCGTACAGCTTCTGGGTCATGTGGCCAGCATGACTAAGCTGCTTCTGGCAAACCAGAGCAGCGCATAGAAACGCCATTTACCTTCCCACCGGAGCAGTACCTATTTATCTACTTGCATTTGACATGCTTTCAAACTGCTAAGTTGGCAGGAGAAGGGCCGGACAACGGGAGCTCACCCAGTCATGGGGATTCGAACCACCAACCTTCTGATCAGCAAGCCCTAAGCTCCTGACAATGTAGGCCCCAAGAAAGTGCCCCAGCTCACGTTAGTATCCATGGTTGTGTAAGCCCCTCCAAATATACCACACTTGAGGTGCTGAATACTGTAGATTTTTTAAAATGGCTTCAGGATTTGTTATCAAAGGCTATGGAAGCACTCAACGACCCACAACCTCTGTTCCATTAATGGGATGGAGGTTTTTCACAAGAAGCTGGCTTAAAAACTTAGTGAGAGTCGGGTGGTCATTTTCCACCCTGTCATGCTGTCTTTCAGAGTCTCCCATCTCAGGGAAGTGCCTAAGAAGGTGGCACACACAAGTTTTGTTTGCTCCGTTGTCAACAGAGGGGTAGCCAACAGTGGCATTCCAGAAAAATATCTGGTCTGCTTTGGTGTACTTCTTTCAATGATGCTGTTTGTATGGTGAGGTTATGTGTAGCAAATCGTAATAATTCTGCCTCTTCTCAGACACACACACAGATTTTTTGGCCTGCTGGATTTCTCATTTGAGAAGAAGCTTTACATGGGTCACTTCTATGGGCTGCTCTAGCCATGCACATCTTTTGAATGTTGTATGTAGTACATTTAGTACATTTTATAATTCTTTCCAACAGTAGTGGCAGCCTGGGTGTTGCCAATCCTATTTCTGGTGTGTCAACCAGGTGGCAGTACGTGATAGCCATCCCTCATTTCAAAATCTGACTGGATCATGGGTTTGATTCAGGCATTCATGCTTTGGTGTCTCACCTTTAATATACTGTTCCTTGCTCACCAAGTGCTTAGGACCCAAGTTCACTCAACTTAGTCTGGATCCAGCCCATAGATTGGTCTGCCATGTTAACTTTGCTGAAGGCAGGGGGAGAAAGTGTAGTAGAAAATTTACATAAGGGAGCCCTGCATATGCCGTCCTTTGATCATTTAGTTTTACATCTTTGGGTAGTCGCCTGCCATATTTTTTTTTGCTGTTTTGTTCCAGTCTTAAGGCCTTGTTCAATAACTTTCCATCAGCCAAATTTGTAAAGCAAACATAAAAGGTTAAATTGATTTCATCAAGGACTGTCTAACAAACATCTGGCACCACAGAGATGAAGTTAATCACCACAGCAGCTATTTATTAAAAATTTATACAATCTTCAGGCCAACAAAGGGACTTTCCAAAGGTCAGACCTCATGAAATAATTCTGCAGTTTAGGTTTTTAAACAGATCTGGTACCCAGGGCAAAGACAACAGATCTTCAGTTCCATAATCCAACATTAATGGATTATGTCCTTTGGTCTTCTCCCAAGATTGCCACTTGGGAGAGCACCAAAAGTGGCTTCGTGATCTCTATTCATAATAAGGCAGTAATCTGAATTGTTTCACAGTAATCTCTCATATTGAATGCGATAGTGGTTTTAAGCCATTGAAATTTGACAGGTATTAAGGTATTAAGATTTAATTATATTCTTTGTGATTTTTACTGAAACCTGGGAAAGTATTCTCCAGCCTTTAAAGCTATTCTTTCTTTTACTGTTGATTTGTTTTATTATATGCATGTTTCATCATTTTACTTTGATGTATAGTTTATTGTCATAATATTACTTGGTAAACTGTATGGGGGGGAAGAATTAAATTGTTCATGTCATTTGGACAAGCCATATGGAACAGACGATAGAGAAACAGGAAGCATTTCCTCACCAGCAAGATTTGTACTATAAGTTTTTTAAAGCAAAAAACTTCAGGCTACATTTTACAAATACTCATTTAGAATCCGAAAGCGGTTTAAGAACGACATCCCATCCCATTTCTTGAACACATTTATTGTATCTCACTGTCGCCTCTAGCTAAACAGATTTGCAGGCTTAAGGAAAGTGTAAATGGGATGAGGGAACACAATAAAGGCAGGAATGCTTCTTCCAAACCACCTTCAACTTTCTCTTTCAAAAGGAAAGTCTCCAATAGTATGGATAAGTCATCTCCACTGAGATAAAGTCATTTAATTGTTGCTTTAAGCAGGCATATAATATGGTTTCCGCAAGTCTCCAGCCTCAGCCTGAAAGATTGTGAAGGATACCCCAATGGAGAGGAACTCGTATAGAAATGCTAAGTATGTCAGATATTGGGGAAAGAACAAAATGTGGCAACAAGGAAACCTACCACTCCCCCAACATTACTCATGCATAAACACTTCATCCACGAATCACATGTACCTGCTTACTTCAATGAAAGTGAAGACAATAGTTGCAGCTGCCGACCCCCATGTCTTGCAATATGGATAGAAATGCTTTCAAGTTTTGAAATGTTAAAATGATTGTAAAATTAGTGAAATGTATAAACCTGAAAAGCATAAATAAAATTTACAAAGGAAAAAGAAAAGCTTATTCTCACCCAGACTTAGCAGTGGAAGCCTGCCACATGAATCTGTATCTGGGTCGTACTCAGCTGCCTTTTGCTCATAGTAGACCCACTGAAATTACTGTATTTTTCGCTCTATAAGACGCACCAGACCACAAGACGCACCTAGTTTTTGGAGGAGGAAGACAAGAAAAAAAAATATTCTGAATCTCAGAAGCCAGAACAGCAAGAGGGATCGCTGCGCAGTGAAAGCAGCAATCCCTCTTGCTGTTCTGGC